CAATTGCTAACAACTACTATATTATCACTGGTATTATTATTATTATTATCATCATCATTATTATTACTACTATTTGCCAGTGGTTCTGGCTTACTTAAATTTGGAAACATGTGGTTAGAAATTTTTTTCCTTCCTGGCCTCAAAGACACACCTCTCACTGGCAGGTTGGTTTGACTAAGGTGTGATAATGCATCTAGCTTATCCATTCCCCCTCAGGTAATATATCTGAGAATGGGGAGCTATTTATTGAGGCAATAGGTGCCAAATAACAAGGATGAGACTGCATGTATGTTACCCTGGCATTGGGTTACTTTCTCTCTGTCAATGGAAGAACTAAGTATAAGATATATGCCACTCCATGTAAGACACTTCATCCTGATTGGTCAGCCAGGAAACAAAGCCATGAGCAAAAGTAAATACTAAATGCTTAGAAGGTATTAGGGGAAAGGAACAAGTAATAGATCTTAGGATGGATGAGATAATTCTACTATCATTGCATTATACCATAATTGCCCTTTTTTGCTACCTGCAGATATTTTTTTTAAAGCAATGATTTTTTTAAAGATTTATTTTTTTATTTATACAAAAACCGGGGCACAGGCCAGATGTGCGAGAGGGTGAGAGGATTCACCAGAGACAGAGTGGGGAACAGAACAGGCAGACAGACCGAAGGCACTGCTGAGGGGAGCAGTGGGAGAGTCAGGAGAGGTATGCCGTGCCATGTGGGTATCCCCCTAGCTGGCCAGGAATCAAACCCGCGTTGCAGAGGCTGCAGACAGCTTCACAGCCCTGCACTCAACCTCCTGCGCCACCAGGGGAGACCCACCTGCAGATATTTTTAATGGCCTTTCCACACATGATGTAATTTTGCTTTCATCTTTAGAGCATTGTCAGGATGCTAACTCCCCAAGTCCAGGGTTAGTGGGTCTGATTCAATACCCAAGTGCTTAAATAGTTGTCACTCACATTCTCAAAAATGGAGGGCTAGTTCTATGCCAAACTATAAAAAAATATGAGGCTGTCCATACATTCACATGGGACAGAGAGAGAAATGAGTTGAATAAGAGATTCAGTTCATGACATTTATATAATATACTGAGAGTTATTCAAAGAGAGAGGGCTGAAAATCAAAGCTGGGGGCCAAAATTAAATGGGGTCCACCATGAGTAGCCAAGATGCTGAAGGAAAAGCAGAATCCAAACCTGGAGTAAAGTTAGATTGAAGACCACAAAGGCATTAAAGTGTCACACAGAGAAACAGGAGGAATAGGGCCCTAGGAACTAAAATAAAAATTTACTGAGCAGTTTATCGCTGTATTAATTGACTGTCCCTGGCCGAGCTGCAAAGCAGTAACAGGGGTTTTATAAAGGCATATTGTGGGACTGACAAAAGCTTCTATCACAGCGAACCTCCTTCCAACCTGGATGTGTTATGATACACTGGCAAGGACTTAACCCTTATGAGACCTGCCACTCACATGTCCACGCACATATGAGCTGGACTTAACCCTTATGAGACCTGCCACTCACATGTCCACGCACATGTGAGCTGGACTAAACCAACAGAACCTGACCAGCTACCCACAGCACATAGTCCAAAAAGCCTTCAAAATTCCCCACTGAAGGTTTAAATCATTCCTAACAAGGGCGCTGAGGGTCTTAGAGAAAAGGCTTTAAAAACAAATGACTTTTTATAATTCCATGTTTAGAAAAGAAATGGCAACATTCAAGGATTTATTTAGGGCCATTTTCTTGACCTCCTCTTAAAAGACAGGAACTGAAGATACAAAGATGACGCAGATAAGATCCAGGCTCCAGGGGACTTACAGGGTATTGGGGATGGATAGAGGCAGGTAAATTAGCAAGGATTATTAAATGTTACAGGTCCTCTCCAGAAAGTATGTCAATGGTAAAAATAGGGACATAAAAAAGTGAGTGATCAATTCTATATGGGTAGGGGGATCATAAAGTCTTGAGATAAAAGGTGACCCTTTAGAAAATACATGCAGCAAATCAGCATATGAATGCCTACTATATTTTTTAAAATTACAGACATGTAATTTATTCTTTGTTATAAAAAAATGACATCTATTTAGGAATGGATGGGCTAAAAATAATTTTTTTTAACTCTTCTCATTTTAGAAATGCTCTGCTAGCCTCTTTGGCAACTGAATATCATTTACTTGTCATGCTAAGAATCAACAGTCAAATCTATAACTTGCAATAGAATCAGTACATGAGACCAAATAAGATAAAGGTTTTCTCTTATGCATTCTATGTGACCCTATTCATGAATTGGGTACACAGTTATCGGTCTGAATAGTATATATCACTTAGGTTTTTGATAGTTACCAGTCACTCTTAGAGACTTCCTCCTGGACACTCAGAGCTAGTCATAATTCAATCACTTATAGGGTATTATTTTGAAGAAGCTTACTTGGTAGGCAATGAACTGAAAAATCAGACTTGTAGATAAGAGAAGTAAAAACTTCAGCAGCTGGTATCCAGTATGGGTTATAATTGCCAGGTGCAGACAACATACATGTATAAGGATTCTGCCTGGGTCTCTTCAGACACCCACTGCTGTAGAGAACCAAATTTCAAAGCACCATTTTGCAAAAATCTACTAGCAAATAAATCAGTCAAAGTCCACTTACAAATATATTCTGTTCTGGTCACTGTGATGAACCACTGTTAAAATTTCATCTTTGTTAGGCAATTACTTTGGCCTCCACACAAGAGAGGCTTATTCTCAATCATTCATCTTAGGAACATGAAGTACATAGTTTATTACCAACATTAACTCATCTAAACCTCTGACAGAAGACTGTGAATTTCTTTGTTAGGGAAGTGTTTCTAACATAAATTTTCCATAGTAGTATTTATGTACTGCATCAAGTCTCACAAAAATTCCCAAGTGTATTTAGTGGATCCTTCCAACTTTGAAGTAAGGCTTAAGTCTTCCTTCCCTCAGTTCTTGAATGGCCACTGTATTCCCACCCATATTCTTTTTTCCTGGGATGTGTCAAGAAAATATGGTCATATTTCAATAGAATTACTGCAAGGGAGAGGGCTGAGAGACCATGGTACTATGTAAGGTGGAGAAGACACTCACCATAAGACTTGCAAGCATGTTAAAAATTAGGCAAAAAGAGTTGTTGTTTTTTTTTTTCCCCAATGGAGAGGTGTAAACAAAACTAGAAAGAACTTGATTTGAGGATGTGGGATGAACTTGTGACATAATCAGATGGTAGATCAGAGAATGGTTTATTTCCCTACAGCCAGTTATTCTCAGATGAAGGTGTTAAGCTGCCATATGCAGGCTAAAGTTCAGGGCCAGGGACAGGGGATGGAAAGAAGTGTTGCCATAGCTTGGTTAACAAACATGTTTTTCCAATTGATCAATGGAACAAGCAGTTCAGTTAATCATTTGTGAGGTAAAGAATGGAATGGGAGGAGGGTTGTCTGGTTCGTCAGAGGTAAACAAGAGGGGAGAATACATGCTTCTTTGTGCCTCTTATCTAATGGCTAAGGGTGGGTGTTTTTTGCATTAAACTGAAGACAAGGGGATAGTGGGGTTGTGAATCTCTGTGGTTCTCCAGAATCACAGGACTCAGGTAAAGGCTAACTTTGTCCAGTGACATTAATCAAAGACAAGCTGACTTTGTCAGGAAATATAGCTTTTAGTATGATGGTGGAATGAGTCAGACTGCCTTACAAGTGGCTTATAATGATGTGGGATATTTTGATATACCTTAGTCAAAGTAAAAGGAATCTGAGTGATCAAGTCTGATCAGAATTCAAAACAAAGATCTGGGACTAGATAATAAATCCACCACCTGTGCCTCCATCTACCCTAGTGATGGGACAGGATACCTAAGTCTTCAGTCCATAACTGCTTTAGGTTCTCAGTCATTTATTCCTTTTTACTTTAGAGACACATCTGACATGAGGTAAGAGGATAAGAAATATCTACCAGTGTTTTAGGTTCAGAGGTTAAGTCTTTGAGCATAGAGATCCAGAATCTCCTAAGCTCCCATCATTTTCTAAGCATTTTCCATTAAAGAGGAAAAACTAATTACGGTCAGCGTCTGCCTCCGGTGAAGGAGGAGCAGAAGAAAGATCTCTTTCTTCTTCTCTTTCCTCCTTAAACTATGACAACAGAGAGGCAGACCAAAAGATACTGGAGGCCAGACCTAGGACTAGGGTTCCAGCACATTCACACCTATAGAGAAAGCACTTTTCCAAAGACAGTCTGGACAGTCAAAGTCATGTTAATTTATCTGCCACAGGACTTTCAGAAGGTATTTTATTACCATGCCTCACCAAAAAAATAAAATCCATTATTAGCAGAAAAGCTAAGAGATTAATGAAAGGGAATGTTTTTAAGGACATTAATTTCTCCATATGCAATAGCTTATAATTTAAGCTATTACAATATCATGTGAACAAAAGAAATAATACTTTTGCTGTGTTCACTCCCACAATATGCAGAAAGGAAGTAAGCCTCCTAATCACAAAATTTAGCTATTAGAAAAATAGCACATAAAAATCAACATAGAAAGTGATAGAAATAAAACCTCTAAGCTGGAAACAGACTTCATTGCTGTTAAATCATATGAATAATTTCTAATTGATTTGTATTGGTCAGGAATCTTATACTGTAGAACCATGTTCATCTATTTATCACAATATTCTATATGACACATGGAAACTAATACATTGCTTCATTAATATTTACGGTCTTTCTCTAGTTACGGCTTAGAGATATTTAACATTCTAAAACATAAGCATTGATAATTACATGTTTTACATTTTACTCTAATTTTTAATACTGCCAAGATTATTTAGTATAACTAACTTTTAAATTATGTACTCTTTTCTCTCTTTACCATTAGCATATCAATCAAATTTGCATTATTCTGGTTTGCTCATTTTATTAAAAGTGAATTCAGGGCACAATTGACTTTTCATTTGTTTAACAAGTGAAGAAATATTTACCCTGACAGCCATTGCATTGTAGAGATTCATCTTCATAGTATAATACGCTAACTGTGAATCAAGAAAAAAAAAAGATGGCATGTATTTCAGTTACACAAAGACAGTGCAGCCTATTTTTACATATAAAAGATAAGAATCTTTATACATAATACATAATAAGAGTTTGAGGCTTAGAAAAATGAAATCAAACTTTGTATTGAAGAGATAGGCCTCCTAATACATAATGCAGTCTTAACCAGAAAAATCTATGGTAGTCAAACTAGAAGCTAATGGAGATATATGATCATAAAATGCTCTCCGCTGAGTTTGATAATCAATGGTGCTCTACTGAGAATAGAATAACAAAGCAGAAATATTCACAAGTGCTGGTGACACGTAGTATTGTATGATTTATTCACTGGGGTTCTTTTAGCCAAAACTCACAGAAACATAAAAGGAATTCATATTTCAAGACGTCTGGTTTAATGAAAAATTCAAAGAAATGCTGTCTTCAGTCGAAATCGTTCAAGGATATGGGTGCAGTGATGGAGCAAAATTGTGCCTTCCAACCATCTGTACAAAATGTTATGTACTTAGCTGCCTCCTGAGTAATCCTTGGGAATTTTGTTTCATTTAATATTCATTTTAACACCATAAAATCACAAATACAATGATATCATGTTACAGCAAATCCTCTGATAAAGGGAAGACTTCCTAAAGTCTTGGTTTCTTTTGAGTAGAGACATATTTCTCTATTAATAGACAAATCTCCATGATAGCAGATAATCACATAGCAAGACAGCTTATTTCTGTGAAAACACTGCTTTAGATAAAGCTTCCACATCTGTTGTACCATTTAATTAAAAATATAAAACTAACATAATTCATGATAGTACAATAAGCAGTCAATGCCATGAAATAACATATTTTTCAACACGAAATGCAACTTGGTCTGTTGTTAGTCAATCAAAATTCATAACTAATGTAACTTGGGCCCAAGGAATAGGTTTGATGTTACAGGCAGAAATCAGAGAAAAGTGCCTTAATCTTTTATACAGGGGCTTTCTTTCCTGAGATGAACAGGAATTCATATAAAAAGGTTTCACTGTAATTAGTGTTGTTTGAATTGCCTGGTCTGATCCAAAGCAAATTGTCTGTGGAGAGCAGCAGGGCTGGATTATTTATCAACAGTCTGAGCAATTAAGAAACAGTTGGCTGCAATATGTTATTTACAAATGAACACAATGATGTTACTTCATTTTAAATTCTCTTTCTTTGTTATAGCAAGTGAGGCATAATTCTTGGTGTTTGAGGTGAATTTAAAATATTTTATATCGTATTCCTTCAAGTTATATGGAAGCAGCTAAAACCATTAAATATTTTTATACAGAAGAAATACGAGAAACAAGTCTGGGTTCGGAAAAAGATATTGCTTCTGATTCTTTTCATATTGCTTCGCAGTTAGCAGTGGAGTGTGTGAGAGTTTTGGAACCACAGATCTGAGTTCAATTCCTGACTTGTTTTTACCAGCTTGTGTGTCTTTGAGAAAGTTAGGTGAAGTCTCAGTCTTGATTTCCATTCTCACAAAATGGGTACATGTTTCCCATGGCTGCAGTGAAGACTAAATCGAGATAAAGTACTGAAGGTTTCAGGACATAGTGGATGGTCATCGTGAAAGGGATTATCAGTACTTCTTGATTCCAACTAAGTGACACTATTAGTATTCTCAGTTCTCTGCCCCATGGTCTGGGTGTTATGTTTGAAAGTAAAAAGCAAAACAAAACAAAACAAAAACAAAAACTGTGAGAAAAGTAGTTTTTGATTCCACTCATGTGAGGTACCTGGAAGAGTGAAATTCACAAAGACAGAAATTGGGGTAGTAGTGATGGATGGAGGGGAGGCTCCCTGCTCAATGGGCAAGAGGCTTCACTTTGAGAAGATGGGACAGTATTAGAGATGGATAATGGTGATGGTTTTATAGAATGTGACTGTATTTCTTGCCACTGAACAGAACTGCTAAAGATGGCTAAAATAATAGATTTTATGTCATATATATATATATATATATATATATATATATATAAAACCACAAATTTAAAAGAGACAAAAAACCATTTGTTGAGAGCCTCCCCGGTGGTGCAGCAGTTGAGCGCTGGGTTGCAAAGCTGCAACCAGCTTCGATCCCTGGCCCCTCAGCAGTGTACTTCATTGGTCTGCCTGTTCTGTTCCCCGCTCTGGCTCTGGTGAATTCTCTCACCCTCCCACGCTTCTGACTGTACCCAGTGCTTGTATAAATAAATAAATAAATCTTTAAAAAAAAGTATTATTAAAAAAAACAAACAAACAAAAAAAAACATTTGTTGAGTGTGAATTGCACATTTCCATAGCTTGCTATGAAACACTTAAAAGTTTGAAAAATTTCTTAGTCTTTCAATTCCCATTCTGAGCAATGATGAAAATTTGTTATATTAACATTTTTCCTTTTGGTTACATGAATTGTTAAAATATAACTCACACAACGGTCCTTGTCCTTAATATTATTTTCTAGCATTCTGTCATAAAAGTTTTTTATTCATTCTATGATGTTAGATATGCAAAGCATATCCCAGCTTCTAAAAATTAGTAATAAATCCAAGAATGACAAGTTACTATAATTTCTAAGCAGACGAAAGTTTTAAAATTTATCCTTACTATTTACTATTCCTTACTCTATTATCATTATGATAGCAAGGGAAGTCTAAAGATCAGCTGCACATCAAGCATAAAAGGTGATAGTTTCATTGTGATGGAAATATGATGGTTAATTACAGATACACCCCAAAAGTTAAATAAATAAAGGAAGGAAAAGAGAGAGGGAGAGGAAGAAGAAGAAAGAGAGAGAGGGACAAACAGGATTGATGTGTTGCATTTTATAACAGAGTAGGAAGAATTCCTGGGATATGAAACAGCACTGAACACTTAACCAACCTTTGTTAGCTATATGGCCTTTGTCATATCACCTAGCTCAATTTTCTTTTTTTTTAAAAAAGATATATTTATTTATTTATACAAGCACTGGGTACAGTCAGAAGTGCGGAAGGGTGAGAGAATTCACCAGAGCCAGAGCGGGGAGCAGAACAGGCAGAAGGAGTGAAGTACACTGCTGAGGGGAGCAGCGGGCGGCAGGAGAGGTCTGTGCGCCATGTGGGACACTCGCCGGTGGCAGCCGGGGATTGAAATGGCGCTGCAGAGGCTGCCGGCAGCTTCACAGCCCAGCGCTCAACCGCTGCACCACCAGGGGAGGCCCCACCTAGCTCAATTTTCAAGAAGGCTTTTGAAATTTTTTTCTGGAGGATGCCTGCCTTTTAAAAACATAACTTTCTGGTGGTTAAGATCTATGTGGGCCTTTTGCACAGGGCAGCTACTCAGGTGGAACTGGACTAGAGTGGCCATACTATTTTTGATTGGTGGTGTGCTTTGTGATGTTTGTCAACAATTCTGATCAATGAGTGACTCCATTTATGGATTGCTAAGTGCTTTAAATATCAGTCTCTCTGTTAACAGATATATCTCTGGGATAGGATGATGAGTACTGAACTGGTGCCATTTTCCCAGCCCTCACTTATATGCAGTCACCTTGGAGTATAAGTCCTGGCACTCCATGAACCAGACTTCCTCAATGGAGGGCAGGTAGGAAGAAATAAGGTGGATATATAAAGGGAGGTGGAACAAAGGAGAAACATGTGAAGAGGTAGTTGGAGGACACACATGAGTGAGAAACACATCAAGAGGTTACTCCTAGTATGGCAGTCATTATTTTGACTTCATATTATGTGTCTCAGCACTTTGGAACCTGCCTAACCCTTTCCTGTGGTTTCCCGCCAACAGGTACCTTAAACTATGGCAAGATTTCTGGTCTCAGCAGCCCTGTCTCAGGATGAGCATGTATGTCTAGGCATTTACCTATGAGGCAAATATTTACCCACGAGAAGACGAGGACTTTTTGGAGTTCTATTAGGAATATCCCCTTCCCCTCCCACACATATTAATTCTATTAAAAATATTTCACACTAGGAGTCTGCATTTGTGTTCTTGAGATCTGGAATCCTTTAAGAGCATGTACCCCTCAACAATTTGGGGCCCTTGGGTGCCCTTTTGGTGGCATGTTAGCACTTCTAAGACAAACATCTGAGTGCTTAGTCTCACCAGTACCTGTGACTGTTTTCTGTTTTGTAGTAATAATTTGATTCTCTCATTTTTACCATAACTTTCATTTAGGTCCCATAACTTTCAATTAAGTCTTCTTTCCCCATAACTGAATTATGCACAGTCTTGATACTCAATTCATTTTATTTTAACCTATACTTAACACTTCTTCCCAACTAATTTTGTACAGTGTTGTTTTAGCAATTGTTTTATTCATAGATCTTCAATAGTTTCCAGTTGCTTAAGACGAGGCATCTTAATTGACCTGGTCGATGTAACTAACTACACTTGAGTATCTCACATCATGAAGAGAAGACACGAAGTTACACACTAAGGCACATAGTTCTCACACTTTTTATTTCTCTAATAGGATAGTGATCACTGATGGGAACATATTTTTTTTCTTTCAATCAGGTTAATTACAATGAGGAAAAAAATAAATGGTAATCACTCTCTTATAGGCCAATGTGATTTTCAACACTCACAAGAGTTGGGTCCCATTTTCACCTCAAGCATCTCTCACTGCTCCTTTCCTTTAAATCTCAATCTGATCAACCTTGTGCACATTTTTTTCTTCTTCATTTACATGCTTTGATTATTCTCTTTGCCTGAAATGCTTTACCCCTTATTTTCTAGTTCCCCAAATCCTATATCTCCTTGTTTATCTTGCAAGTATTTATAGGAGACACCATTTCTGACCCACAACAAGTGCCGTTCTAAACCAATTGTAAGTACTTCTTTAAAATCAACAACAAAAACCTAAAACGAAAATCCTTACTTGCTGATCTAATTTATCTCTCTAACCCCTTTCAGTGTTGTCATCCTTCCTCATGCTTCCAAATCTTCCTCTTCCCCTTCTCTCCCTTAATTTTTTCCCCCTTCCCTTT